CTTCCTTCCTTCCTTCCTTCCTTCCTTCCTTCCTTCCTTCCTTCCTTTTCTTCCTTCCTCCTAAAGGTGGACCCATCCTTCCATCCTTCCGAGGTTGGTAAAATGAGGACCCAGATTGTTGGGGGTAAAATGGTATATAAATCTAATTGCTATTGCTATTGCTGTCTATTCTTGGACAGAAGATTAGAAGAATGTGCTAGCATTATAAGACAGAATGAAAAAGGTAAGAGAACATCCTGGAGGAACACAGTTTCAAACCACTTCTACATTATTCTTGAAATGTGACCACGTATCCATCAAGAGTTGACTTGACCACATTGCTTTAAAAAATAAAGATTTTTTTAGCAAGCAGAAAGGCTAAAGGCCTCTGAAAATCTGCTTCATATAAGAAGTTGAACTTTGGAATAGTCTACAAAGTGGTTGAAGAAGGACGAACAATTTGCAGAAGGCTTTCTTTTTTCCTTTTGGTTATTGGAAAGACCGGACTGAATGTTATTCATAGCTGTCTTTGGTCGATGGCTTTTGCTATGCTTGAAAAAGTGATTTACCCAGCTTCTTTTTCTTTTCCTAGATCCTAGTTGAGCTTCCAGACGACAGCCTGAAAATCCAGATTCTGAACTTTCCATCACCAGAGCCAGCCTTCAAGTTGCCTTTTGCATCAACCTTGAAACCAAAGTGGTCTTATAAAGTGCTGAGTAAACATTTGTCATGTCAGTACAAAATCTGTCCCTAGGTATAGTAGCACCGGCTAATGTTTTTTAGTAGACGAAACAGAGTAGGGCTTGCTTAGTCCTTGAACAGGAGACCAATAAAACTAGATTGGGAAGTTGAAAATAAAATTTAAAAAATTCCCAAAGACTCAGATTTTATTCTGGTAAAATAATTTGGCCTTCCATTCAAAATGCAAGAGGGAAAAACAATACCAAGGAGCTCCAGAAGAAAGACTTGGATTCAGGTCAGAGGCTTATATGAAAATGTTGAGCTTGACCTTGTTAAAAGTTGTTTCAAGGGATTTTCTAGAAAGCCAAACCTTAAAATGTAATAACTAAAAATGTTCTTTGCCCCAGATGGTCAAAAAGAAAAAAAAGAAGAGACAAGGCTGCAACACTGGAGGTTTTTAAGAAGAGATTGGATAACCATTTGTCTGAAATGTTATAGGGTCTCCTGATTGAGCAAGGGGTTAGACTAGAAGACCTCCAAGGTCCCTTCCAACTCTGTTATTCTATTACTTGAAACTTAGCCTACCACAGTCATTCGAGACAATGAGATGCCCAGCATATAAATTTAATAAATAAACAAATTTAGTCAACTTGTAAAACAACTTCCCTAGTGGGCATTTGGACAAACAGCCATTTGGGACTGGCCAATTGGTAAGCCTGCTCTTTCTACACTGCGCTTCTATCTTTCCCAGTCTGTATTAGCTATGTGATTTGACTTAAAGAGCTATTAAAGTAAGCACTTCCCTGTTGCTGACGTCTCTGGTACACCTCTTTGTCCAGTGATGAGACAGGATCATCGTCAGGTAAAAATAAAGACCTGTTTGCCTCTATTTTCATCTCCCATGCTGGATGAGAACAGTTTAAAAATGAGCAATGCAGGAATACTTGTTAGCACGGTCTAATTTATGTGCCTGAAGCAACTTGTCTGCTACATCTTGCCCGTCAACAAACTTCTTCATTCAACCACAACAACACACGGGCAAATAACTGATACAAACTCAGGGTGAACCGCTTCAAACTCGATTGCAGAAAATATGACTTCAAGCGACAGAGTGGACAATGCCTGGAATGCTCTACTGGACTCTGTGGTTACAGCCTCAACCCCTCACACCTTCAACCTCAAACTGTCTACCGTGGACCTCTTCACCCCATTCCTAAGAGATCCTTAAAGGGGGCGTGAATAAGTGCACCAGAGTGCATACCAACCCTGCCTTACTGTCCCCATTTATCTGTATTTACTTCCTTTGTTCTTGTCTATGTAGTACCTATACTTGTTACCTTGTACATGTTTGACTAACAAATAAAATAGAACAAAATAAATCAATAAATCCCAGCAAGATGTCAATGGCATTGCTGGAAAAAAATCAGGGCAGGACATGAACTTAGCACACTGTCAATGTATGTTGTTCTTGGTGTTCATGCTCTTCTTCTCTGAAGCATCCAGATGGCCTCTGTAGGAAACCGAAGCCAAACGCTGGACAAGATGGAACATTTCATTGGATCAAGCTGTTTTCAAACCCAGCATGAACCCAAAGCCCAAGATAATTTGGAGCAGAAGCTACAGAGTAACCTTAATGCAGCGTTTTCTCAAGTTCTGGATTCCATTTATGGAATGTTTGGCCAAAACTAAAATTGGCAGCCTTTGGGTGTAAGCTTTTCATAACAGCTGGATTTGATGGAATGAAGACAGCAGGAGGATGCGGAGACATCAACTGGCATTCCAATAGTTTCTTCCGACAGACTTTCACTTTTTAAAAGTGAATGTGCAACGAGAAAGGAGAGAAAGGAGAAAAAGGAGAAGGCCGTCACTGGCCACAAAAGAATGATCCATCTCTGGGTCATTTCTCTTGGGCAAACTGAATTCTGCTGCAGTGTTTACTGGGGAAGCGGAAAACTCTGTCATGATATATACCAAAACAACTCAAACAGAACAGAATAACAAAGCTGGAAGGGACCGTGAGGCCACCTATTCCAACCCTCTGCTCAAGCAGGAGACCTTAGACCATTTGAGATAATCTCTTCCTAAAACCTTCCAGCGATGGAGCATCCACAACTTCTGAAGGCAGCCTGTTCCACTGGTCAATTCTCACTGTCAGGAAATTTCTCCTTAGTTCTAGGTGGGATCTCTCCATAAGTTTCCTCCCATTGCTTCTTGTCCTTCCTTTGGGTGCTTTGGAGCATAGGCTGACCCCCTCTTCTCTGTGGCAGCCCCTTAGATGTTGGAACCCTGTGTCACCCCTAGTCCTTCTTTTCACTAGACTAGGTATACCCAACTCCTGCAACCGTTCTTCATATGTTTTAGTCTCCAGCCCCTGATCATCTTTGTTGCTCTTCTCTGCACTCTTTATAGAAAGAGTCTCAACATTTCTTTTGTGTGGTGGTGTCCAAAACTGGATGCAAAATTCCAAGCGTGGTCATAAACATTTTAGCCACAATAACAAATGAAGCAATCCAATTCAGCATCAAAGCAGTACACGAGAATCTATATCTCGAACACATGGCCCAAATAAGTGCTGCAAGAAACTGAAAAGATAGATAATTTTATTTAAACAATGTCTCTCTCTGTGTGTATTTTTAAAAACGATTAAATACATTTGGTTTAAAAGGAATAACTCAAATCACTAATGGAGAAAAGTTTGGCATGTACCACCCATAGAAAGCAGGCAATGAATGTAGCACAATTTAAGAAACAGGTTAATCCATAAAGAAAGAGAAATGTGTAATTGAGGAGGGCTGAGCTCTAAAAACCAGGGGATCTATTTTTTGGCAGGGGGATCTACTTCTGTGAAAAGCAGGATAGATAATGCTCCAGCTCACTTTAAATGTGGATACTCAGCTTGGTTCTTATTACAAATTATTTGCAAATCAATATCCCTGAAAAAGAAGTTGTATGAACTGGGATGGCCAGTCCGTTTTTCCAGAAAACTGATTTAAACTGATCAGTGGGCTGGAAGATTTTCATAGCATACAGGAAGAGATTTAATTCTTCTCCCCCTTTCATTGTCCCAATAAAAATGATGTCATCCAACATTGAAATTAGTATCAGGAATAAAAGCATTCATGGGCACATGCCAATGAGTTCTCCAAATGAGTCATCTAAAAGGTTGAATCCTGGCAATGGCATCAGACTTTATTAATCTGAGACATTTTGTTGCTCATCCAAGCAACTTCATCAGTCAAAATAAAAAAAAATTAGGCTCTCTGACTAATTAATTGTTTTATTTTTGCCAGAGTATATTCATGAACTGGAATAGAGCATGGTAACAAGATCAGCCAATGAACAGGCATAGCAACTAAGTCAGCCAATGAGGACTGTTTGGAAAGTGAAACTAGACGCAGCCTAGGCGTGGCTCTATATTAAGCTCTGCGGCTTTGAAGCTAAATTAAGCTCTGAGTTTGTCTATTGAAAGAGAAACTAACTTGTTTGCTTCCCTGCTGAACTAAAGTAAAACCGATGTCTGTTTCTGAGCTACTGAGTTACTACTCTGCTCTGAGCCTGTGATATGTCTGCTTCTGTTTGAATTTGCTCTATGTTGGAGAAATCTACAACTGGTATTGTAAAATTTATGTGTTTATAAAGAAGTTAAATGAAGCCCCAGCCATCTGTGTTTACTTTTCTGGCGCTGAATTTACTCTGCAAAACTCCGAACAATTTTGACTGTTCAAGTTGCTTGGATAAGCAAGGAAATGTCCCAGATTAACAGTTTGTTGCCGTTGCCAGGATTCCACCTTTTAGATACCTTTGGCTTGGATGATTGAGTCTTCATTGACGTTCTCCCAATGATGCTTTGATTATACATCAAGCTTGTCCCTGGCCAAATTCCCTTCTCTTCTAAGGGAAAGAGGAGATAATTGAATTAGAAAAATCCCACATTCCCATGACTATAAAAAAAATTTTTTTCCCCAGGCCACCAGTCCGATGCGTGTTTCTCCCCTCAAGCAGTAATGAAATAAAATAATCTTTGGGAATCAAACCCAGCACATTTTAGAGCAGGCACTTTTGATTCGGATTAAAAAAGATACCAATGACATTCCATGCATTTCAAACAATTAAAAAAAGTCCATACAGCCCAGACAAAATATTGCACACAAAACCATATAGGATCCTTCTGTACTCTAAAGGGTACAGCAACATTTGCAGAGTTTCTCTAAGAATGCAACAAAAATATCTCTATCTAACTACAGCAGACTTTATATATATATATATATATCCTGTATTTATTATATACTTTTAGAGGATGGAACATATTAGGAATATCAATCCAATCCAGCAGTGGGAATTTTGACAGCTTTATGGGAAAAGATAATATAAAGCCAGCTGTTATTTTGAAAGACACCCTCTAAAATTCCAGATGTTCTACTTAGTCATTCCCTCCGCACAGCTTGAGCAGGATTTTCCGGTAGTCCCCTGAAGTGTCACCCTGAAAGTAAAACAGAGACAAGACCCCAGATTGGAAGAGAAAGGAAAAAAAGAACAGTGAAGAAGTGGGACAGAATAGCTGGCTTACCAACAAACCTCTCAAAAGTAGTCACAAAGCTACTTTTTCATGAGCCAACTGGACTTTGTTTTTTCCTTGAAGAGATTTCGCTTCTCATCCAAGAAGCTTCTTCGGTTCTGAGTTGAAACTGTTCTAAGTTAGAAGTGAAGAAGCCTCTTGGATGAGAAGCTAAACATCTCCAAGGAAAAACAATGGCCAGTTGCCTCTGTTCCCTTCTCTGCACTTTGACGGAGACTCTGCCAGCTGATTCCATAAATATATAGGTGTGTTATACAATCAGTCCCACCAACCACATTTTACTGCTGCAATTGGGAGTTTATGAACTACCATTCCAACACCAGATCTTTTCTACTAGCTGTTAGCATTTTAGGTACCAGAAGCTCCAGTGGTGGGATTCAAATATTTTTACTACCAGTTCTGTGGGCATGGCTTGGTGAGCAGGCTTGGTGGGCGTGTCAGGGGAAGGATACTATAAAATCTCCATTCTCACCTCACTCCAGGGGAAGGATACTGCAAAATCCCCATTCCCTCCCCACCCCACTAACCTGCTTTCCAGCTCTCTTCTCCTGTGCAGGGCAACCAAAGAAGACCTAGCCGATCAGCTGGGACTCAATGGGAGGCAGAGAATAGAGGGGGG